GTTAGATTAGAGGTGAGCCCTGAGGGTGGATGTAATACAAAGAACACAGAGAACTAGCGAGCTGCTGGTAATGTTCCGTTTCTCCACCACGTATGGATTCCCTGGTGTGCTTAGTTTTTGAAAGTTCAATGAACCACACATAAATAATAGTAGTACATTCATTCAATGGGTTCTTCAAATAGAAGCAAAAGAAAAGAAATATCTTATCAGATACACTTCTCTGTGTATTTATTATACTTCAACACAAAGTAAAAAGAAAAAAGAAGTCGCTGGGCTCAGTGGCTCAGCCTGTAATCCCGTGCTTTGGGAGGCCGAGGTGAGTGGATTGCCTGAACCCGCGGGTTTGAGACCCGCCTGGGCAACTTGGCAAGAACTCATCTCTACAATAAATCAAAAATCAGCTGGGCATGCTAGCGCACACCTGTAATTCCAGCTACTTGGAAGGCTGAGGCGGAAGGATTGACAGAGCCCAGCAGGTTGAGGCTGCGGTTGCCGGGAGCGGCCACTGCACTCCAGTCTGGGCAAGAGTGAGATTCCGACTCAAAAAAAAAAAGGAGCTAACTGAACTTGGGCAAGCAACCCAGTTTACCCAAGAACTAGGTAAAAAATCTAATGAGACCAGATCACCGTTAAAAGGAGACCCAATCACATTTAGTCAGCAAAATGGCCTTTATGAGTCACAGGTTCCACTTCTTTGCTGCACAGAAGTTCTCAATCTTTCTAACATGGGACGGTATGAAGGAAACTGTGGTCCATCTGGGAACACAGCCCAGAATAGCAGTTCCATACCCTTAGAAGCTCCTAAATGAGAAAGAAGAGGTTCTCCACCACCACTCTCAGGATATTCAGCTCTCAATACTCTGACGGAGAACAAAGGGATACTTGGGTACAAATGGGCCAACCGGCCAGGCATTCTATTAAGTTTATTTATTATTTCATTTTATTTTTTGTTTTGTTTTGAGTCGGAGTCTCACTCTGTCACCCAGACTGGAGTGCAGTGGCACGCTCACAGCCCCGCAGCCTCAACCTGCCGGGCTCCAGCGATCCTTCCGCCCTAGCCTTCCAAGTAGCTGGAATTACAGGTACGTGCTACCACGCCCAGCTCGTTTTTTTAGATTTTTTATTATAGAGACAAGATCTTGTCAAGTTGCCCGAGCGGGTCTCCAACCTGCGAGCTCAGGCAATCCACTCACCTAGGCCTCCCAAAGTACAGGGATTACAGGCTGAGCCACCAAGCCCGGCCTCTATTAAGTTTATTAATCCTTTCATAACAAATCCTTTAGAAGAGTTTACCAGAAACAAACAGGCTAGGTAAGTTTTATTTTCTCTATTCTTCTACCTCTTGGTGGAAGTTCTCAAGAAACAGACATACGAAGAAATAAAAGAAAAAGCAGGCTGGGCCAGACACAGTAGCTTATACCTGTAATCCCAGCATTTTAGGAGGCTGAGGTGGGAAGATCACTTGAGCCCAGGGGTTAAGACCAGCCTGACAACACAGCACAGAACTATGTCAGCATCATGCTGTGATCCCTAGGTAGGGAAGGTGAGGACAAACAGGCATTAGCTTTGGTGTTAGCAGAACTATCATCTATCTAACAGGGCCAGCTACCTTCTGATTGCGTGGCCTTAAACCACTTAGGTTCAGTTTATGAAACTGACATTGGTAGACTTATGCCACATTTTTTTAAATGTAAAAAAGCATAAGACTAGTATTTAATACCCAATAAAAATGGAAATTTTAAAATTTGAGTTGGAGTCTCACTCTGTCACCCAGACTGGAGTGCAGTGGCACACTCATGGATACCACAGCCTTGACTTGCTGGGTTTAGGCGATCCTTCCACCTCAGCCTTCCAAGTAGTTGGAATCACAGGAGTGTGCCACCATGCCTGGGTAATTTTTTGATTTGTTGTAGAGATAAGGTCTCGCCAAGTTGCCCAGGCTGGTCTCGAACACCATGACTCAGGCAATCCTCTTGCCTCTGCCTCCCAAAGTACTGAGATCACAGGCGTGAGCCACTGTGCCCAGTTTTTCTTACCTTTTTTTTGGGAGGGGGGCAAAAATTTTAAAGTCTGATGACACCTACTGCTCTGTAGCACACAGAGAAATGAGACATTGCAAGAGGAATGAGATTTTGCAAAGAGACATTACAAACAGAATCAACCACTATAGGAAGCAATCTGGTAACATATCCCACTCCTGGATATATGAACTCCAGGAACTCTGTGTACAAGGAAACAAGTGCAAGAATTCTCATAGCAACACTGTTTCTTTAACAGGAAAATGGGTAGACAGGGGTACACTTATTCAATGCAATTTCAAATAGCAATAAAAATACAACAAAGTATCAGAGACACATACATTAATAAAGACAACACTTACAAAAAATATTAAATAAAAAAATAAAAGTGGTAGAGATGACACACAATAAAATACCATTTTTATAAAATCTAAAA